AAATACTAGATTTTTTATCTAGTGACTTCTTTTTTTGAACATGATCTTGCTCATAACTGTGACAAAACAAATGCCAGCACAGTAAATATGCAGAGGCCTGTGGGCTACAGCAGATTATTTTCATTGGATTTTGTTAATCAGCGCTTCAAGCATCCTGACACTGTCATTAACGCTGTAAAGTCTCAGGATTGTTTATGACTGCTTCTCTTGGGAAAGCGCCACTATACGTGGCACCATGTCAAAAAAGCAAGAAGGTATTATTTTCCTAGATTGATGTCTGTATGCTCAAGAGAACATAAAAGAAAACATTCTAATAAACTTTGATTGCCTAACAGATTGTCCCAGCATGATGAACAATAAGGACAGATTGTGCAAAGGGAAGATGAGGACATCTATAAAGTATATTTATTCTCTCTCCCTCTTTCACTCTCTGTCAAAGACTATTAGAATTGAGTATTACTAAAGCAAGGCTAAGTATTACAGAAGGTAAAATGTGACCCTGGACCACAAAACCAGTCATAAGGGTCAATTTTTTAAATGAAGATTTATACATGATACGAAAGCTGAATAAATAAGCTTTCCGTTGATGTATGGTTTGTTAAGATAGGACAATATTTGTTTGAGATACAACTATTTGAAAATCTGGAATCTGACGGTGCAAAATAATCAAAATATTGAGAAAATCGCCTTTAAAGTTGTCCAAATGAAGTTCTTAGCAATGCATATTACTAATCAAAAATTAAGTTTTGATATATTTATGGTAGGAAATTTACAAAATATCTTCATGGAACATGATCTTTACTTAATATCCTAATGAGTTTTGGCATAAAAGAAAAATCGATAATTTTGACCCATACAATGTATTTTTGGCTATTGCTACAAATATACCCAGCGACTTAATACTGGTTTTGTGGTCCAGGGTCACATTTGTGCCCAACAAAAGATGATAATATTGTTATTTTTTTAATAAATTAAAAAAATAACTATTTACAATTAATTACAATTAGTTCATTAGGTTTTTAATTTGCAATAATAGTTGTAAATTATGCATTTACAATTCAACAACTATGACTCCATGAACACACTTTTTGGCATACGGTGGCATAGGTTGTTCAGTGCTTGCAAGACACAAAATTAATTCTAATAATAATTCACAACAACATCCAATACATAACATAAAACCTGGTTTTTAAGCTTGCAGGGGCAAAACAACACCGAACATAAGACGGTGACAAACAACAGGCAATCCTTATTATGGAACTCTTCATGTCTCGCGTTTGTTTTGTGTGCATTTGCGCCTGGCAAGACACTTGTAAACCCTGTAAAGTCCACATCATGACATCTACACATTCTCCTGGGGGGATGTAAAAAATTGTCTATTTGTATGCCTAATGTTATTATTGATCGTGCCAATTTTTTTTCAGAGCATCATTTATGACGAAGACTGTGCAGTACCAAAACGAGCTTCACAAATTCCTCATCTGGGACACAGCAGGACAAGAAAGGGTAAACAGTAACAATTAGTACACACACTGAGGTGACACACACAAGCTGACAGCCATTAAATACAATGTTTACTGTTTCACTTCTGTTTTTGCAGTGTCTTTGCATTTCAGACAGGGGGCAGTATTGCATGCACTTCTCTTGTATGCAGGCATGTATTTGAGAGAGAGAGGGGGGTTAATGATATTGGAAGGGGGCTGGTCTTCTTCATGTATCTCTAATACGCTCTATATCTTTACACTCTTCTCTCCCAAAACGCTCTACTACGTTAGGCAAGACAGCTGAAGTGTATGGGTGACATTGCATAGTTTGAAATGATTATCACCGCTCATGATTTGACGGCAGTCTTGAGGCTGTTTGGAATATGATCTCCTCTTATGTTTGTCTGTGATGTTATGTGATGCTAAATGTAGAATGCCAAGCGGCCCACACAAGCTGCTAGAAAGAATAGTACCATACCAAGTGTTAAGGAATTGCGCGTCTCTTTTTATGCAACTGCATCGAAGATCTAGGACTTTTTTTTACACGTAAAGCAGGAAAATAAAAAGGTTTTGGATTATGATGAATTTAAAACACAGAAAAAGCTTAGAAAATTAACTGGAAAATAAATGGTTTGCACTATTTTTAGGTCAAATGTAAGATAATTCGTGGAATTTGGGATTTGTTAAATCCTTTGTTCAAACGATAGACATGGCCTGATATTCACAATTTTCACTTAAATTGTTTTGATGGTAATATAATTTATATATATATAAAAATGGTATTAAATTAGAAAAATGCAAAATAGAAGTATTGGTCTTGAATGTTTGGATCCCACTCCATATGAAAGAATGAGCATATGGGAAAGTCTGACTTATCTAGCCTCTTTACCCTCATCTGGTCCTGTTTAGCGCTTTGATGTATTTCCACCGGTAAATATGGTGCAAGTTCATCATCATGGCCTTTGAGTTGTTAAAGAGGTCAGGTTTTCTTTGCTTTGCTTTGTTCGGGATGCTCCAGAGCCTGATAGGATGAAATGCTAGGCCATGTCAGAGATAGTGGTTTTTAGAAGAGCAATCAATGCCAGAATCTCTCTCTCTCTCTCCCTTCCTCCCTCTTAGTGTCTTTCTTCTTTCTTTTCGAACTTCAAGCTCTATTGTGATTTTGAGAAGAGAAGACAGTTTTGTCCACAGATTCCTATGCTCCAGTGGGAGCTGTGATCAGGCTTTTCACTGGCTGTCAAGAGCTTGATTAGATAATTATCCGACACTTGCTTTTTAGAACAGCATTATAGAAACATGGCTTGTTTTGTATTCTTTGGTTTTTGCTTTAGTGGTTTTGTGGGTGCATTAAATTGATCAAAAGTGACAGAAAAGACTTTACATAGTTACAAAAAATTTCAAGTAAATGCTGTTCATTTGAACTTTCTGTTCAACGAAGAATCCTGGGGGAAAATGCATTATGGTTTGCACAGAAATATTAAGAAGCACGACTGTTTTCAACATTGATAATAATAAGAAATCAACACATTTCCTGAGCAGCAAATCAGCATATTAGTCTGATTTCTGAAGGATCATGGGACACTGAAGACTGGAGTAATGATGCTGGAAATTCAGCTTTGATCACAGGATAAATGATGTTTCAAAATATATTGAAATAGACATTTATTTTCAATTGTAACAATATTTGATCAAATAAATGCAGCCTTGGTTGAGCATAGGAGTCTTCTTTTAAAAACATTTTTCAGAAACTTATTTCCATTAGATATAGGCAGAAATAAAAATTGCATATAGCTAGCAAAGCGGTTTCATGAGGTCTTTAAAACCGACAAATTGACTTAATGGCAAGAGTAATTTGAAGAGGTAGTGACTGGAGGAAGTTGGATGAGAGAAAACGCAGGAGTAGAGTTGGAGAGGGACCACACAGTCTGGAATCCTGGGATATGTCTGAGGAGACATCCTGCAATTTTAGTCAGAATCTAAACTGAAGCATTTCCTCTTCCTTGTGCAGTGAACTTTGCCAAAAACAGCTATAAATGTGAGAAACCGTGTCAGTCAAACTTGATTTATTCATTTTATTGGCGAAAAAGATGGATTAAGCAGAGCTCCGACCAATTTATATTGGATTTATACAGCGTTTTCATGAATTAAATAAACTTTGAATGGTGTCAAATGAATCTGTAGAATAGTTATTAATAAATGTTATCTCAAGTGATCTCACTTAGTACTGATGCATTGATCAGCAAAACCAGTTAAGAACTACAAGTTCCAATTGGTTTTAGATATTATTTGTAAATGTATGTATGTTCACGCATATTGCTTTATTCACTTTTATTGATGAAAACTAGCAGTTCATAAAACATTCCGTTAATGAGCACAAATATATTACTGTGCCCCAATTTGCAGCTCATAACTGTTAATTGTAAAGATCTCAGTAATTTGCCAAAACTGTAACTTTGGCTAAAAAAATTAATTTCTAAACTGTGTATTTGATTTGAAGACTATTTCTCAGGCTAGCTCACACCTAAATTTAAGAAAGTATGTAAAAAAAAAAAAAACTAAACTGCAGCCAAGGCTTCTTGCCATGTCTACTTTCCCTACCCTGTCTCTCTCTTAATCATTCACTTTCTAATGCACTTTTAGCTCTTTTTTTTTTTTTCAGAGGAATGGCATACTGGATCCAGCTTGTTTTTATTAATCAGAGCCTTTTTGGTCTATTTTTGATGACCGGGGTCGAACAATCCAACTACGCTATTTTATAATGATTAAACGCTAACTTCTTCTGACACGTCGCGCTCATCTTTCCCCTGATGGCTCCCACATGTGTTGATACGCCTTTCCATGCAGTTCCTCAACTCAAGCCCCCTTGGCATGGCCGTCTGAAACACAATTCTCCTTTAGGTGTTAACAGTGGCTCACGTCTAGAGTTTTTCACCGTGGTTTTCCCTAACCGCCGCCTAGAGTTCTGTTTGAATGGAACAAGTTGGAATAACATGCGTTTGTTTGTGTTTTAGTTGTCCATTTAATTCTGCATGAGACTCGAAGGAGACCTCCGTCAAAGCGAACAAATTCTTTCAAAGCTCTGATAATAAGCATACGCAGGTTGAGATCACCCGCTCGGCCCCTAAGAAGGGATGTTGGGATGTTATCAGTGATGATTAAGTCTTTTTTTTTTTTAAGTACAGGCCATAATTTTCTCTGTTATCTGTTTCGCTCTTAGTTTCGTGCCCTGGCTCCCATGTACTACAGAGGCTCTGCTGCGGCTATCATTGTGTATGACATCACTAAAGAGGTACTGAAATATTTCTTCATTATTACTACACAAATCTTTCTGCTGGTAAAGCCATTAAAGGGATAGTTCACCCAAAAATGAAAGTTCTGTCATCATCTACTCAACTTCATGTCGCCTGAACTACACAAGATCTTTTTTTTTCCATGGAACACTAAAGGAGTTATGGGCTGAGGTAAGACTTTCAGTGAGTAGTGGGTTAAATGTCAGTCTGTTCCTCACACAAGGCTATCATATGGCTTTTGAAGACATGATATGTCATGCACAAGTCATACAGACTAATTTTATGGTGCTTCACAGCCGCTAGTTTGCATTCACGTTCAATTAATGGAAAAGAGCAGCTTGGACAGTCTGCTAGGTAACTCCTTTTGTGTTCAACGGAAGAACTGTTACCACGCAGGTTTTGAGCAACATGAGGGTCAGTAGATAATGACCTTAAAGTCTTATGATGTGGCAGTGTTGCTTGTCTTAAAGATCTCCCCATCTTTCACTCAGGAATCATTCCAGACGTTGAAGAACTGGGTGAAGGAGCTTCGCCAGCACGGACCACCCAACATAGTGGTGGCTATCACTGGCAACAAATGTGATCTCTCCGATGCCAGGTGAATTCCACCGTTCCTTGCCACAAAAGACTCTGCATCCTGTCATCTCTATTCAGCTTGAAGGGATGCACCCGCGGTGGCTGTCAGCTCAATTTGACGTTTGGAAAAGACCCGCATATTTGCTGTCAACTTGTCTCGACTCATTGAAAACAAGCTCACACACGTACCATTACCATAAGCATAACTTGTGATGAAAAAGAAATCCACTCTTCAGCGGTCTGTAATTTATCTTTCCACTTTAAATTGCTTCACTCTTCCCACAGGTCCAGTGATATGTCTTGGTTCACCATTGCTTTCTTTGGCAGTGTTAGTCGGCTGTCAGTGCGGTTGTATTTTACTTTTCGAAACCATAAAGACCGAGACATCGAATCTGAGGAATAGCGATCGCACCGCAAGCCATTCAGGCAATAAATATCAGGGAAAATTCTTGCAATTGTTCTGTCTGGCACATGAAGCTTAGATATTTCGTTTTCTGGCACAACTGGTCCTGTTCTCAGTGATCCACTGCCATCATTTACTTCACTTTTAAACATTGATTTGATTGTTTCTTTACATTTTTTGATCCAAGTTTAAGAGGTAAAAAATCTGTCTTCATGAAAATACAGTTACTGATAACATTACCCCAGCTTAGAAATCTGAATACTATTTAAAATTATACTCTATTAAAAGCATAGCTAAAAAAGGCAACTTTATTTTAAGGTCCAATTCTCACTATTAACAAACCATTAACCAATATTTTATTGGATGTGTGATTTTGTTGGCACAAATCCCATAAACCTGCATTGAAGGACCCCACGTATATTTATGCCTAGTAGACAACCACTCCGAACACACTAGCGATCACAAACTGTAGCATTACCCTAGTTACCACAATCACCCTAGCAAGGTGGCAGGGACTTTTGCACAAACAACCAACAAAACTCAAGTTAATCGAAATGTTTAGAGAAAACATCACCAGCTGGGCAGTTGAACTAACAGAGAGCGAAGCGTGAAGCGTCAATGGAAAATTGATCCGTTGTCAGTGTGATTGGCCTGAAACGTGTACGGGTGCAATCTGATCAGCACCTGTGATCAGGTGACAGGTGCACAGAGAACCAGCACACAATAGTTTACCTCCTACACGCTGCCGTGTACTAGTTAAACACCACCGTCACAAAAAAATACATGAGTTTTACAAGGTTCTGCCCACTCAGATAATCTCCCACACATGTTCGGTGTCAGTTTAAATCTTTGTAGTTGAAAATCTCCAGAATAACACTGACATGCCAGTGTCGTTGAGAGTTTTAAACATGTTAGATTTGTTCATTTATGAAACTTATGACCAGTTAGTGTGGTATTAGTGTTGTAAAATAAGCTACTACTCTTTTTTTTTTTTTTTTTACTCCACTCTCTTATTTCACCTATTTTCCGCTGCTCTGTCCTTTTGTTTTCCAGAGAGGTGTCAGAGAAGGAAGCCAAGGACTACGCTGACTCCATTCATGCCATATTTGTAGAAACCAGTGCCAAAAATGCCATTAACATCAATGAGATCTTCATTCAGATAAGTGAGTAAAATCCTAACTAACTATTCATCTGTGTGGTATGTAATTGACAAGGCTGTAGAAATTTAGACCCCTGTGATTTTAGATGTTATTGTCTTCCCTTGATTGTGCTTCTTAATCAAGCTGGTTTAGTTTTAATAAATGCTGTTTATTGCAACACAATCTATTATTAAAATGATAATGAATGCATGATCTATAATTGATCCTGATGGTGGTGAGAATAGTGCTTCGGTGGATACTTGTTCTTGCCACTTGGAACCGGGGCAGTGGATGAGTTACAGTGGATACAGATCTTTTACCATGGAGCTTGGCAGTGGCCCCATTGAGGAGCATGCGGGTGCATGATACTGTGCTTGTGACTTTTGTGCAGGAACTGAAACAGCAAGTCGTTTTTTTGTATTTCTCATTTTAATTTTTATTTGGTTTCCTTTACAGGTCAAAGGATCCCAGTTATAGACACGGATGGCGGGTCTGCAGTCAAGGGCTTCAAACTTCGTCGCCAACCATCAGAGTCGACCAGGGAACGCACTTGCTGTTGACGCAGCCGTAAACAATTTGGCCAGATCCTCTCCAGCCTCTTGTTTTATTTTCGATTAGTAACCAAGGATAATAGCAGATGAAGAATGTGATGTCATAGGGGAAGTTACGTAACTTCCTTTTGGAGCCAAAAAAGAAGTTCAGTTAAGAATGGAATGAGATATATAGTCTGAATCCTGATGCACTTCCTTGAGAAAAGATGAAAATGCCCTCATATAATCGTTGTACCTTATCTTGCCTGTTCTTCAGCCCCCCGTTCAAATGTCTTTGGGGATCCATTTCTGTTCTAGATCACAAACACCTGCTTAACAGATCAGATACTGTCCTGTCTTGCTCTCTTTCTCTCTCGTTCATTCTTATCTCTGTGCAACAACCTCTGCAAAACTCTATGAAGTTTCCGAGTGAAGCTGTTGTCTGTCCGTCTGTACATTTTAAGATTTTCAGCACTCCTAATGCAAGCAACACAGCGTTCTTGTCCCACTATTTTTGCACATTTTTGATGTATATGATAAACAAAAATGTGAATGGGTGAATCTCAAGAAAGCTGTCATATTCAGGTCTCATGTCAGTCAAATCAAGTGGAAAAATAGGAAATTATATTTTGCATAAAGTGAAGGTAAAGTCCATTCTTAGGACTATTAAGATGTTTTTCATTGTGTAACAGTATAAAATTTATTTCAACTGTAAAACAGTAACTAATATAGCTGTATTACATTAATGATAAATACAGAAATACACTATGAAAGCGTGCTTAATTGTCCTAAAAGAAATGTAACAAAATGCTCTTAAAAATAGTCCTCATTATCTCTCCTTTTTTATTGTGATTATGAGGGTAAAATGACACGGACAGGTTTTCGTGGGGTTTACTCAAACACAAATTTACTATTATAAGTATCAATAAATGTTTGTATTTCTGTTACGCAGGACCAGACGTGAGGTTGTGAGCACTTCTGTCTTTCCTATATTTTGTATATGAAAAAAAAAACTAAAATCAGTGGTAGTACTAAAAATATAAATGAAGATAACTCTGGGATTTAGCAAGAGATGTCTGAGCCTTGGCCAGAAGCCCTATTTCGAGATGAGTTTATGAATTTATATATGAAGAATGTGCCAAATCTTTTTTGTGACATAGTAGGAGTTGGATCTTGTAGTAGCAGATCAATAGGTCAGTGATGCTGATGGCAGCATGCGTGAGTTCAGCAAAACCTTCTGCTTATTTAATCAGTTCGCAAGTCGAGATAACAGTAGTAACACATTCTTTGCTCCAATTAGCCACATTCTGGGTTGCCAGATTCTTAGCTACAGATCCAGCCTGTTCTTGGATTAACAAACAGTAAGAATGGACTCTTAGGTTTGCCGATAAATGTCCGTTGTTACCACTTGCAGTGCATTATCGTGGCATTAGAGAAGTTCAACCCTCATGCTTTGAGATAAAGTTGGCCAGTCTTCTAGAATGCGGACAAGAATAGCAGATTCAAAGTGTTAGATTTGATAACTTTTCCAACTGTTCACATGTTTTTCATATCAGAAATTTAATGGTAGTGGGAAGTAGCCATTGCTGGAATTCTGTACACGAAGTGGTGCGATTTAGGCTTTTGTCCAAGACTTTGTGAAGTGTGCATTATGTCCGAATACTTTCTAAAATTGCATTTTAACCATTTGTGTTAGTTGGCCGTTGTTTGCTTCAGATCCCTTGCTGTTCCATTTTATGAGATTTTTTTACTGGATTGAGTGATTTTGGGAGGGCTTGCCAAATGCCCTAATTGTCTCATAAACATTTTTCATCTTTCTCATTCTTTCACTGGCTGAATAACTTTTGGCCTGCACATCCAACATGCTTTTACTATCTGGACAGGGATAAAAAAGGAGCATATATGGAAACTAGTCTTGGTTTAGAAAGAACAAGACGTTTAGAAGAAGAAGAAAAAAACAGCTAAAGTAAGTAGTTACGCTATACCAAATATTCTGCTTTGATTTTTTTCCTGTCACTCAATTTTTGACTCAGTTTTCTTAAGAGCTCTACTGTCAAATTTGTTGAAGAACTTAATTTGGGAGAAAAAGTCTTAAGAATTGCACCTGAGAAACTTGCATTTAAAAGATTTGGATTAATGTACACAGTATTTATTCAAGACCATTAAGATAATGTGGTTGAGTGGCTCTTTTTCTATACATCATGTAGAATTTACATTTAGGTTTATTCAACCAAAATTGAACATTATCTTTTACAGTTTTGTCATGTATGTGAATATAGAATAAATACATTGCGATTTCTTAACTGCATATACCCACAATGGCAAAATGTGCTTAAAATGCGTTTGATCTACATGCACATCAGTATAACACATGACACCATCTCTGTTGTTTTTAGAAATTAGTATGTGGCTTCTGTAATTTGTCTTATGATGGTACTTTAAAAATGTGTCACATATATTATCGCATATGCTTTTGACACATAATATTGGCATATAGGAGTGTTTAGTGGATCAGAATGAATATTATGGGCATCGTCAAAGTCTAGCGTTTCTTTTGCCGTCATTTATCCTGTGATTTTATATGCAGTGATGCCAATGCACCGTAATGTTTTCAGGAATTCACAAGTGCAATAATAATACTTTTCCCCTCCAAAATGTGTGCTGTCAGTAATAATAGCTGAGAGATTTATAGACTTATTACAGTAATTGTAGTTAATCCATGAATTTTAACACAACAATATTTTCATTTAAAAGGGATTCCTTGGAACAATTCTTAGGGGATAAAATTGCACTTTTTCAGAATTGCTGCGTGTCTTTCTTGCCCTAGTTGAAACAACTTGGAAAAATTACAGTCCTAAGCTGTTTCTATTGATGTTTACACAGAGAACAACATTCAAATTGATTCTTCCAGTGTCTGTAATATACCTTACTGCAAAGTAAAAGTATCTTGCACTCAAACCAGAATCTTAAACTGTCATGTCAAACTAATTGGAGAAGGAAACAGTTCAACTAATGTCACGTGTTATTAAACTCACTGAAGGGCCTTTACAATGTATGGAAATGCATTACTAACTCTAAATGTTGTAGAATAGCTATTTTTTTGTCTTGTACAAAGCCTGTGACCCACAGCGAGACCAAACGTCTCATTTAGTCCAGTTGAAGTTCTTGACTTCTTAGCCAATTGAAAAGGACTTGCTGAATTGCTTGTCCTCTTGCTAGGGAGCACAGGCTTTGCATTAATGCCTTTGAGGGGCACTACATGCTACACTTGAGTCAGACAGTGTGATATGCTGTCTGGTGTGGTTTGCAGTGGTGTTTAGGTTGAAGAACAATGCCAACAGTCTTGGGCTGGCCCTAAGAAAGTTGTGAAATTCTGCTTACGTACTTAACATCCTTGTATATAGCACATAGATGAATTGTGTAAATTAATTGATGTGTAGTCTTTCAATGTCATACTTACCATTGTAATTCAGTATATACAAAAGTAATTTAACCCAATCATTAAGTGTTTTTGCCATTTAGCTTTTCTACAGTCCTAAGCTGTTTCTATTGATGTTTACACAGAGAACAACATTCAAATTGATTCTTCCAGTGTCTGTAATATACCTTACTGCAAAGTAAAAGTATCTTGCACTCAAACCAGAATCTTAAACTGTCATGTCAAACTAATTGGAGAAGGAAACAGTTCAACTAATGTCACGTGTTATTAAACTCACTGAAGGGCCTTTACAATGTATGGAAATGCATTACTAACTCTAAATGTTGTAGAATAGCTGTTTTTTTTTGTCTTGTACAAAGCCTGTGATCCACAGCGAGACCAAACGTCTAATTTAGTCCAGTTGAAGTTCTTGACTTCTTAGCCAATTGAAAAGGACTTGCTGAATTGCTTGTCCTCTTGCTAGGGAGCACAGGCTTTGCATTAATGCCTTTGAGGGGAACTACATGCTACACTTGAGTCAGACAGTGTGATATGCTGTCTGGTGTGGTTTGCAGTGGTGTTTAGGTTGAAGAACAATGCCAACAGTCTTGGGCTGGCCCTAAGAAAGTTGTGAAATTCTGCTTACGTACTTAACATCCTTGTATATAGCACATAGATGAATTGTGTAAATTAATTGATGTGTAGTCTTTCAATGTCATACTTACCATTGTAATTCAGTATATACAAAAGTAATTTAACCCAATCATTAGGTGTTCTTGCTATTTAGCTTTTCTCTTTTATTATTTTGTCATACAATGAAGGCTTGAAAATAACATTTTATTTGTGAATGTGCAAAAGGGAAATGTTGAGCTTTTTATTAGTAATAAAATTATACAAAATCTGTTTTCATTTTTTTAATGTTATGTAATCAACATACAGGTAGTTACTACTGATTATTCTAGTTTTAGTTAAAAATAAAAATGGTGCAAATGTCTGCCTGCAGTTTAGAGGGATTGAGAATCTGTTTGGAGCAGGTGATAGTTCCTCCTAAACTGATGGGCTATATATATAAATATGACACTTGTGGTATGTGTCTCCTTTGGCAGGGGTCCCTGCTGAACCTTTAATTGTGCTGAGGAAAGTAAAACGACCCTCTAAGAGCTTGTGTTCAACTGCCAAGCTGAGCATAAATTGACTCACCTAATTCAACTAGATGCAAGTAAAATGTGATCCAGAAACTTGGCTGAGGATTAAGTCATTCATGTTAATTCTTAGATTCCCATATATTCAGTTGGATTACTTCACTGCATTTGAGGAACAGACTTAGATTTTCTTCTCTAACATTATTATTTGTGTGCAACCGGTACATTATGATTAAGCATTTCTTGATTAAGCAAAATCTAAAAACACATTCTAAATCTATACATACAAGTCCAAATCCATGTCTCATGTATCAGAGCATATGCAGTTGGCATAAATATAGCCTTTTTTGGGGGGTAGTTCACTGATAAAATGAAGATTTCTTTTAAATATTTATTTTTATTTACCTTTAAACTTTTTTTGCTGTGCCAATCATTATTATTATAATGTGTTTTAATTAAATTAATATAATTATAACTGTAAATATGTGTGTGAATGTTATATTATTAATATAATTAAAATTCTATAATTAAATATTATATATTGTAAGTATATCATTTCAAAAGTATTTCACTATTTTCAGTTACCTTTTAAATTTTTTGCTGTGTCAAATACCTTTTTGAGGTACAAATATTTAATGTATCTTAAATATAAGGTCAATCGATTTGAAATAATTATGCAAAAATACATAAATAATATTTTATATTTTTACATATATTATGTTAGATTTTCTATTCATATATTTATTTTATTTTTAATGTCCCTTATATTTAAGACATTGGAAAAAATATATTTTCTAATGTCTTCGTTATATTATATTATGTATTATAGCAGTTTTATATTATACTATATTAGCCCTATATTATATTATATAATTTATTAAAACGATTTACCTGTTATTAACAGTATACCTTTTTGTTAATAGCCTATATAACCTAATATCATCTCATATATATATTAATATAATAAAAAAAAAAAAACATTTTAATTATAAAACTGCAAAATAGTATCATTTTCTTTAGTGGTCATTGCATGTACACATATGTGAAAATACCACTGTAAATTTACCATAACATGGTTGAAGATGAAGACAGATGACCCATAAAGACCACCCACACCCTCACATCAGTCGCCACTACTCAGTGCATACTGCAGGGGCAGTGACGTCACGGCCAGCCTCTCGCTCTCCCACAGTCCCTTCCTGCTGCATCACAACAGTCGCTAGTGGATCGGGTAACACTGAGCTATTTCCACTGCCTTGTGGAGTTTTTATTTCAATAAATGTAACAGAAGTCCTCATCGACAGCCTCAACCGTCAAGCCCGTCACCGTCAGTTCCAGCGGACGTCAGCGCAGCAGTCGACGCGTTTGAAGCGCAGTGGGAGATGGCCAGGCCAGAGCAGGTCCTACTTCTTGAACCGCAGCACGAACTGAGGTTCCGAGGTGAGCTGAGAGACTGACAAGGCCGTGAACTAGCGTCTATAACGCCCAGCACATAGAGGGAGGGTCGACCGACGTGTTTTTTAGGGGTTACGGGCAGAAAGAGGCGGTGAGGTGGCGTTTCTGACAGGCCTCAGTCCTTAATAATAATAATAATATGGCGCAGCGCCGTAATGGTGAATCGTTTTAGACACCAGGGTCTCATTTAAATGTCCTTAATGTGACAATGACGGGTTAATCAAGTGTTCACTATTTTTAGCAGAAGACTGACAAGCACGTTAGCTCGAGCTAGCCTGTTTTAGGCCTTGACATACAGGCTGTATTGGTGGGCTGGTTAATTCGGTTAGTATGAATCGGTGCAACCGGTGTTGCCATGTCCGCTTATTATTAGCGACGCTGCGTTGTATTTGTCGCTTATAGAGTTGCTTATAAAAACGGGCTGTTGTGGTTTATTATGAGGTTATTTCCAGAATACAACATATACTTTTGTATGTTAGTGTTTAGCCTGTACACAAAGTGTGTATGTCGTTATTTGATGTGATATTTCTCTGTCACTACGTGACTTGATTTCTGTTTGAATGACCGCTGTGAGTAAGCTGTCAAAGTCGAGCTTCATTTCTCCTCCTGTTCAGATGAACAGAAGGAGAAATAGTTCCTATCTTAAGCAAGAACAACTGGGCCGCGTATTTTGGCTTCTTTTGGTGAAGCAAGTTGATTATTTTTGGCTTATTTTATCAGAACTGGTAGCGTATTTTTTTCTAGCAAAATCTGGCAACACTGATACCTACCTTGAAGCTGCTTCCAGTCAGGAAGTCTCCGGCACCAGTGAGAAAGA